TTGTTGCTGCGTGCTTGGAGAGATGAAGCGAAAGAAGCACTGCATAGAGCGAAACCACAGTCTCTGTGAGCTGGGAGTGGTTTTAATTACTTAGATGGTGATTTGAGGGTGACAACACATACTGACATGCACAGCCTACAACAGCCACCTAACCTCTTTACTTTTTCTTTTTTCTTTGCTCGTTTTACTCTTCTTTGCTTTTGTGTTTTTTTTTCATTGTATTTTTTTCTTTCAGCTTCTTCTATCTCATCCATTTTTTATGCGTTGTTTGTTTGTTTGTTTGTTTGTTTTTTTTTTTTTTTAGTTTTGCTTTCTGTTTCGTTTTTTTCCCTTTGGTTTCTTTTGCTTTGTTTCGTTTTTTTTTCTTCAATATTCTGATAACAATTGTAATAACATAATATAATAATAATACTAATACAATAATAATAATGATAAGAATAATAATAATTGTATAATAATATTGTATAATAATATTGTGTATATATGTATACAATGTATTAACATATGTAGTCCACATGTAGTATATTTATAAGATCGTTATTGCATAGACCATGGTCCATAAAATTGTGTGGCCCATAGTTCAAAAATTTGTCATATATATATATATATATATATATATATATATATATATATATATATATATATATATATATATAAAATTTATCAATTTAATTTTGTGTTATGTATATGCTATATATTTGTAATATATCATAGTTATTGTTCTTATTTTTTACAGCGACTTTTCGACTTTGACACATTCAAGATGGTGTACTTTCAAGATCTACGACGTAACGGGCAAGATGTCATGGTGATATCGAGCAGAAATAGTGATCATCAAGTCACACTGACGGTTAACCCACCCATAGTACTACGTGACCCGCCAAAGCTCACGGTGTCGTATCATGAGAGCAACTGGACCCCCGAGTACGAATGCCCGCCATCCAAGGTGTGGACCTTGCTACCCGGAATGCAGCACCAACCTTCCAAAGACGCCCTTCCTACACTGGGGCATCGTATACTTAATGCTGAGGTCTCGTGGGGCCAAGACATAGACTTTGAGGGCGAATTCACTTTTCTAAAAGGATATTGGGAGTGGGTTGAAGAAATGCTTCACTTCTCCCACGACACCTTAAAGGAGGGGAAGATATATGATGCTGTGTACGCGTCATTATTTACATATGACCGTAACATCAACATTGTCAAAGCCTTCTGCGAAGCATGGTACCCACGAACCAACACCCTGATCACCTCGTCTGGTGAGGTTAGCATATCGCCTCGGGATTTGCACGTTCTTGGGGGACTACCACTGTCCGGCGGCATTTATGACGAACACATCTCGAGTGCTCTGGACCTAAAAAGGGGCCCAAACAAGTGTTGTGCAAGCTTATTCGAGGCCTTTTATCTCTTAAACCAGCAAGAGGGTGTCACCCCCTTTGTTCAAGCATCGCGATGGATTGACTTCTGGTGCAGAAAACCGCGAACACATCCAGCTCCTCCACTTGCATCTCAAAAGGACAGGAAATCCCGGCCAAAGAATACCCACAACCCAAGCGGAGAACTTAACAAATCCATCAGGTGGTTAGATGTGAGCAGGACGCCCTTTCTTGAACTAGGCATCTCCCGGCGTTTCAAAAAGGAAGCTTACTTGGCCGCGTTTTTATCTTGTTGGCTTTGCGTGTTTGTCCTACCAGGTACACCAACAAGAACCATTCGCCCAGAGACTTTCAAGATAGCATGCATGATGGCTAGAGGAGATAAGATATGTCTTGCGGCTCCAGTACTTGCTAGTATTTATTCTGGTTTAAACTCAATCTCGGAATCCCACTCTCCTGGTCAAATAGGAGATCCTTTTTCCAATCCATTACATGTACGGCTGGCTAGCAACTTACTACCAAACCCACTTTAAGACCCCCAGCCTCACGTTAGCAAACCCAAAGATGGTCACTAATTCTGGAGAAGGTGGTGCAAGGTATTACACCGAGATGGATGCCTGCAAGAAGATATTCAAAGGGGACGTTTCTTGGCTCTGCAACTCCCGCAAGGATAATAGAGATTTTATCTTTTACGACGACCGTAGAGGGAGTAGGGAAGACTTTGAGTACTTCATATGTTTGCGCCCCAGCTTCCTCGTTTTGCGCAAAGGGTCTCGATGCAAAACTGAGCCTTATATGCCACATCGCTTCAGTCGTCAATTTGGATTCTATCAAGCATATGCCCCCGGCCTGTTGGCGAAGGATGTTCGTTATGCTTCACTCACCGAAGGATTCCGACTCCATCGCCAATATGATAATGTCAACTCCCAATCCAGGGCGACATTTCCCATGAGTCCGGCTGCTCCAAAGAAGCATTTTTCGAACGAGTACAAGGCCTAGTTGATCGATGTGAGTGCAAACCTTCTCGAGAATCATTTCACAGACATAGCCGTTAACGGAAACCCAAACGTACCTGTTGGCGAGGAAGGAAATCAAGAACAAAGAGACCAATTGACCACCTCCAGGAACAAAAAAACACCTGCACAAGAGGACATGTCATCTCGGGATAGAGCCTCAGGACATGCCGTTCGAATGAGCAGGGAGGAGCAAGCGAGGCAGCGAAGCTTAGACGAGGATACTGGTAGTGATGACGATCAAGATCGCTGTTGGAAAAGGCCTAGAGGGAGACCATTGAGCCAGGTTAAGATACTTCCCCCAAACTCTTTCGTTTCGTATATCGTTGAACCTTGGCCTTTGTTAACGTACATGCACTACTTTTTACAGGATCCTGCCGAGCCACATGTTAGCAACGATGTCCAGTTATCAAATCACCAATCTTCAATGGGACAAAGTGGCGGACGCTCTAATACCCCTGACCTCGAGGTAGAATCCCACCAGTCGACACCGCCCTTAAACACAACTCCCCAGGAGACGCAGCCAGAGCCATCCCAAGCCTCTATCTTCCCCGGCGAGGAGCCGTTTATATCACAGTACATGGCTTTCATTGCAGGAGTTTGGAGTAGTATCTGCAGGAAGCTTAATGAGATTCTAGCTGAAAGAATTTCTTCTTTCCAAGGAAGCGTTGAAAGACAACTCCAAGAAATGGGACGGGACGGGGTGGACCTATCAACATTGAAGCGACGAGTGGCCGAGTTCTTTAACAAAGCCAAAGATTACGATCGGGCGCGGTCGCAGCTCTCAGATGTATTGCCCGTTGAAACCCAAGCCGCGAAGCTAGTTCTAATGCAAGGTGTCCTTATAGAATCTCAACAGAAGTGTTCTCAAACCGAAACGCTTTTTCTTGACGAACAGAAAACCCTCAAAGACGCCGCCGATCGAAAAACCTCCTGGAGAAAACGATAAAGGATGCGCAGGAAGAGTTGAAGGAGATTGAAGCCAAGAACCCGGAACTCCAAGACCGTGTGACGAAGGCTCAAGAACAACATAATGCATCGCAAAAGGTCGTGACCACCGCTGAGGAGGAAGTTAAACGTATTCGAGACTGCCCCACATTGACAGATGAAGATGAAGAAAAGCTTACTTCAATCAAAAGAGAGCTGGAAGCGTATAAGGAAGATCTCATGAGCTTTAAAATACTTTAGATTTTATATATATATTTTTTGCTTAGATTTTTTTTTTTATAACGCATGAGTTTTATACTTGGAAACAAGACTTGAATTCTCTTCTCTTTTCAACAATACTTGCAAACAATTTTCTTGATTACAAGTGCAAAAAAAAAGTATACTCGGAGGAAAGTAATTGAACTTGAGCATGAACAGAAGCAACTAAGTCTAAACCCAAACGAGTCACTCTAATAGAAATCTGACAAAAGAATTCACCCGTAATTACAACATGAACAGAGATGACCCATCTCCAATACATCTACATTATTCGAACAAACGTGACATAAAGGGGACACAAAGGGGTTTATTTTAGTTATGACTGATCTTAGAAGATGAAGTGTTTATAAGCTGCCTACGTACTCCTGCAAAGGAGATCAAGTCAAACGTAGTTCAAAGGACCATTTGAATAGGTAAGGCCGTTCACAGTTTAAACTCATGCAGGCCAGGAGTTTACCGTACACAGTTTAAGCTCGTGCGTGTCAGGAGCGTCTATGACTTGGGCCTACCCATAGACAAGCGAGATGCATTAGCAGTTTAACCACGTGCTGCATTTTTTGTGGATATCATTCATTATGTAGTCTGTGTGCTTAGGGATGATAGATCTTTAAGAATTTCCCGTTAATAGGGCCAACTCGCACACCATCTTCATCAATTAGCTTGTAAGCACCTCTTGAGTATGCTTCTTGTACCACGTAAGGTCCATCCCATTTTGGAGTAAACTTGTGCCCAGTTTTCCTTGTAATAATGATAGGTCTATGAACCGCCAACACCTTGTCACCAACCTGAAATGAGCGAATCCTTACCCTCTTGTTGAAAGCTCTAGAAATTTGAGCTTGATAGCATTCTAAACTTTGTTGAGCCTGCAATCTCTTCTCATCGAGAGCTTCTAACTCTGCCAACCGCAACTTTACATTATCCTCGTCTGTAAGGCCTTCTTGGATAGCTAACCTTAGAGAAGGTATTTGGCGTTCAAGAGGCAAGACTGCTTCAACCCCATAAACCAGTGAGTATGGAGTGCTTTGTGTTGGTGTACGGTACGTAGTTCTGTATGCCCACAGTGCTTCTTCCATCCTCTCTTGCCAATCACATTTTGACTTCGACACCACCTTTTTTAGTAGATTGCATAGAGTTTTGTTAAAAGCCTCGGCAAGTCCATTTGCAGCTGCATAATAAGCTGATGAATTTCTTTGCTCGAACTCAAAAACTTTGCAGATTTTATCCATCAATTTATTATCGAATGGTTTCTCGTTGTCGGTTAGGATATACCGAGGGATGCCAAAACGATAGATAATGTGAACTCGGATGAAGTCTGCAACATTTTCCTTCTTCACTTCCTTTAAAGCCACTGCTTCAGCCCACTTTGAGAAATAATCGGTGGCTACTAGTATATACGAATGCCCTGCTGATGACTTGGGTGTAATAGGACCAACCACATCAAGCCCCCATGCATCAAATGGCCACGATGCTACCGTCGGATATAGCGGTTCAGGAGGTTGATGGATAAAGTTCGCATGGAATTGACATGCTTGACATCTACGTGCATAGTCTGTGCAATCCTTCACCATCGTAGGCCAGTAGTAACCCATCCTTTTGATGTGAAAATGTAACTTAGGACCAAATTGATGAGCACCGCACACTCCAGAGTGAGCCTCCTCCATCGCTTGTAAAGTTTCCTCTTCGCCTAAACATCGAAGGAACACACCATCAAACGAGCGCCGATATAGCGCATCTTTGAAATATATGAAGCGAGGAACTCGACGTCTTACATCTACCCTCCTACGAGGGTCTTGAGGTAACTTCCCATCAACAAGGTAGTCAATCAATGATTGCCGCCAATCCTCTTTATCTACCTCATAGACAGAAGCAGTCGGGAGTTCAACAATGTCGTCAAGAGAGCCATCGTCTTCGAAGATTGGAGGGACCACCCATTTTTGGCATACTCGTAACCGAGCCTCATCTATAGGATGTGATATAGTTGAAGCCAAAGAAGCTAAGGCATCGGCTTGCTTATTATGTTTCCTTGGAATGTGCTCCATCGTAGCATCTCCTAGCCAATGCAGGAGCGTCTTTGCATAACTGTTGTATGGGATCAACTCTGGCTTTTTTACTTCGTAAACCCCAAGTACTTGGTTGATAATCAGTTTGGAGTCCCCGTATATGTTAACCCTTAGTTGCTTCATATCAGCTGCAATTTCAAGTCCCAAAATGAGTGTTTGATACTCGGCAACATTGTTCGAGCAGCGTTCCGTCAAGGTAAATGAATAAGGAAGCACTTCCCCTTCAGGCGTAACAAAAACAACTCCAGCGCCTGCCCCCTCTTTGTGTGCCGCTCCATCAAAGTACATCTTCCATGGAGGTAAAACTTCAACTGCAAGCACATCCTCATCAGGTAGGTCATTGGACAGCTCCCATTCGGCCGGAATTGGATGATCAGCTAGGAAATCTGCTAAGGCTTGCCCCTTGATGGACTTCTGTGGTACATAAGTGATCTCAAACTGTTGAAATAATAAGTACCACCTAGCAAGTCGATCGAAAAGAACAACCTTTAACATGACATACTTCATCGGGTTTGCCCTGGAAACTAGTCGAATTGTATGCGCTTCAAAATAGTTCTTGAGCTTCCTGATGGCGAATACAAGGGCCAGACACAACTTTTCAATTGGCAGATATTTGAGCTCATTTGACGTCATCTTTCTACTTAAATAATAAAGGGCATTTTCTTTCCCCTTATCATTCTCTTGTGCAAGTAAAGCACCCACAGAGCTTTCTTGAGCGGAGATGTAAAGGATCAACGAGAGTCCTGGAATTGGAGCAGTCAACACAGGTGGCTTCATTAAATAGGACTTGATGCTTTGGAAAACATTCTTGCAGGCCTCATCCCATACAAATGGGACACCCTTCTTCATTAACCGGCAAAAGGGCTGACATCTTCTTGCTAGGTTTGATATGAATCTTCTTATATAAGCCAACTTCCCTTGCAAGCTTTTAAGCTCATGAAGGTTCCTTGGCTCAGGCATCTTCATTATAGCATCGATCTTTGCTTGTTCGATCTCAATGCCCCTATGTCGAACAGTAAACCCAAGGAATTTTCCAGCAGCAACCCCAAAAGCACACTTCAGGGGGTTCATTTTGAGTTGAAATTTCCGCAAGCGGTCAAAGACTTGTCTTAGATGCATCATGTGATCTGTGCGGAGTTTCAACTTCACAACCAAGTCATCTACGTAACATTCCACCATTTTATGTAGCATGTCATCAAATATAGTCTGCATAGCCCTTTGGTATGTAGCACCTGCATTTTTCAAACCAAAGGGCATCACTTTGTAGCAGTAGATGCCTTTTGGTATACGAAACGCTGTAAATTCTTCATCTTCTAGCGCCATGCAGATTTGATTGTAACCGGATGAGCCATCCATGAATGACATGATCTCGTGTCCAGTTACGGCATCTATCATTAACTCTGTAATAGGGAGCGGGAAGTCATCTTTCGGGCATGCAACGTTAAGATCTCAAAAGTCTACGCACACACGGATCTGGCCGTTCTTCTTGCGCACAGGAACAATGCTGGATATCCAAGTTGGGTATTTAACTTCGCGAATGAAACCAGCCTCTATAAGTTTGTTGACTTCTACTTTGATTGAGGGAATGAGCTCGGGGCGGAAGCGCCGTTGAGCTTGCTTAACCGGGCAACACCCCTTTTTCACTGCCAAGCGGTGCACGGCTACCTTTGGGTCCAACCCTGGCATGTCCTTGTATGTCCATGCAAATACATCAATATATTCTTTCAAAAGTGTGACATATATTTCTTCATCTTCATTGGAAAGGAGTGAACTAATGAAGATAGGTCGAGACCTTCAGGAGTTCCTAGATCCACCTCTTTTAGTTCGTCCACTGCGGCTTGTACCCCTTCTTCTAGCTCTTGAGGCGCATCCTCTGCATCTTCACCCTCGGTTGGAATCTCATCATATAATGTTATATGAAATGACTATGCCATCTCATCTTGACTTGGTGTTGCTTCACAAGTTGAATCAATGTTTTCTTGACTTCTTTCTTGCACTTGGGTGTGTATAATGGTTCTTGGTTGGACCTTCAAAACTTCACCACACGAGACATGGATATTAACTTCTCTTCTCATGCGAGATGGAACGACACTCCCGAGTCTTTTCGAAGGTTCCATTTCAGTAGGAGGGTTGGTATGCTCTTTTGAACTCTGAGTAGGCCCAATTCTGTCATGTACTGATTTTCTCTTAGCAGGTTTGGGATTCGGCCCAAGTCTACGGAAGACTGATTGTCGTGATTCTACATCTCCAATTCTATCAAAAACAGATTGCTTCTTGTCACTTTCCTCCTCATCTGTAGAAGTGATGCAATTACTTGTGGCTCTGTTTATGAATATTCGCACTGGCTTAGGGGGAACATAACCCAACCCTTTGCGTTCATGCGGCTCCTGCTGACTTGCCTTTACCACCAGCTTCTGGGATGAGTTTCTCAAGCTTCTGTGGCTCTTTGGGATCATATCCAGCTTTGAATAGGAGTTTATAGGCATTAGGGTCGAAGCCGCCAGTGCGTTTAGCGAGCAATAATGTTTGACTTGTCCCAACTTGAGCTTTATCTTCAAGCGGTTTAACTGGAGCTGCTTTTAATGTTTCAATTCTTGCAAGTGGGAAAACAAGTTCCTTGTCGCAATGAGCTTGGTCTACGACTTGTTTGCCTTTCCACTTTGGATCAGGAGGTGTGTCAACATCGCGTCGGTCAGCCTCTTCTACAACAACTTGTTTCTTCAAGTAAAACTTTGCATCTGCAAAGTATGATTCTGCCTCAATGAAGGGAGTTTCATCAGCGACTACCTTTTCTATCACCCCGCCTTATTCAAACATGAGGCATTGGTGCCAGGATGAGGGAACTACTCCATTCTCATGTATCCCAGGCCGGCCCAGCAGCAAGTTGTACGACGTCCTTACGTCTATCACATAACATAGTGTACTTGAGTTTAGTGTTCCGATCCTGAGGTCGAGTCTGATGGTACCCAGTGCTCTTTGTCCTCCTTGATTAAATCCTTGAATCATTAAGCGGCTTTGAGAGAGCTCATCAGTGGAAATGTCGAGTTCCTTCATCTCCCGGAGTGACAGAATGTTCACAACCGACCCTTGATCAATCAAAATCCTTTTAATCTTTTGCTCGCGGGCATAACCTTCAACAAACAACGGACGATTATGTGGTGTACCACCAAGCAATAGATCCTCATCTTTGAAAGTTATCTCGGCAGTATAAGACGCGGCTTTGTGGACTTGAACCTCGTTACCTCCCTCAATCACGGGGAATGAATATTCCTCCTCTTCAACATGTCTCTCTTTAATATTCAGGCGAGTTCCAGGAATATTTGTCCCATGCGGAGGAAGAGCCTTCGGCATGTATTGAGCCAGGGCAACTGGTGTTCAAGACGTGCTGGGACGTCCTCTCATCTTTGTGTCATAGGCGAGGTCCCTTGCTGGCTTTCTCTCAACCCATTGCTTCGTTATTCTCTTCAAAGATCTAACATGTCCAACATTGTTCCTTTGTTTTTTGTGGGTAATAATTATCCAATCCTTCTCGCATACCGAATTGACCTGTGGTAACTCCGGTTGTTGCCTAGTAGCATGTTTCACAATAAATGGAAGCGGGCGTTTGTATTGCTTTCCCCCATCCTCTTCATCACTCTCCACAACTAGCGGAGCGAACCTTCCACATGAAATTTGGTTGGTGCTGGCAGTTGCATCAGCCAGCTCAATCTTTCCATCACGAGCAAGTCTCATCACCTTATCTTTAAAGACGAAGCATTTTTCAATCGGGTGTCCGAGGAGACGATGATACTTGCAATAGTTGGGGTCGTCCACCTTAGAAGCTTATTCGGGACGCTTCATCTCTGGTAATTCAATCAACTTGAGCTTTAACAATTCATCAAACATGGGTGACATATCAGAATCCAAGAACAGATACTGTTTTTGCTGCATCTCTTCAATGATTCTAGTACCCCGAGATGGGCGGGAAAATGACCTTAGCCTGGGATTTTCAGTCACTTTGGCCAAAACCCGCATTGATGCTGTTTTTACGTTCATGGCCTCTTTCTTTTATGGTTTCGGGAAGGGCTTGCCCCCTTTCTTGAATTCTTGTTTTACAGGTGCCTTGGATGAGCTAGGGATACTTGACATGTTGAGCCCTCCATTGGCTTCAATACTCAATTCCATGTCGTGAGCACGACTGGATAGTTCTTCAAATGTTCTAGGCTTGATTCCCTGCAAGATATAAGAGAGCTCGAAGTGCATCCCTTGGATGCACATTTCAATTGCGGAGCTTTGTGATATCCTCTCTTTACAGTTAAGGCACAACTCCCTCCATCTCTCGATGTAAGCGCCCACACGCTCACCCTTCCATTGGTGGGTGGTGGTGAGTTCCAAGAAGCTGACAAACCTCCTGGTGCTGTAGAAGCGGGTCAAAAACTCGCGCTCCATATCATTCCAACTATTAATGCAACCATGCTCCAGGTCTGTGTACTGTTGGACAATTTTAAATATATAATGTCCTCGCAAGTGCACGAGTCAGTGTAGTGGTAGTGCGCAAAGGCAAGGGTCGAACCCAAGAGGAAGTTGATATGATGCAATTTAATAAATTGAAATTGATTAAATTAACAATTTAAAGTACTAGAAACAAATAATATCAATAATTAAGATTAGAATAAACTTAAATCCAAAGTAACTGAATCAAAATGTAACTTGATAATTTAAGGTGTCTAAAGCTAATTAGAATTCAAAATGTCAAAGAATAAAGATCAATAAAACTCAGGAAGCTAAGGAATAAAATTAAACAAAGAAACCAGAATATCAAATTAACAGTTAAAGTTGGAAAAAGCTAAACACAACAATCTTAACACATTATAAGATAAACATAATTGACCGATAAAAATAAAAACTTGATTCAATGCAAAATTCTCATGATAATGAAGTCATTTTCTTAGGCAAATTAAACCAGCAGAACATTACAACCTCAATTTACTAATCACTTTTTATCAAATAAACAAAAGAACTTTAATGGTAATTAAAATTGCTATGCTAATTAGAGAAAAAGAATAAACAAAGGCAAGAATATGAATGAGAAGACAAGAAGAATTTGTGTGCCTATTACGAAGCTATGGCCGAAAGCTTTTGAATTAAACTAAGCAAATACTCTACAGAATTGCAATAGCAAATTAATGAAAGGGAAAAAAAAAGGAAAAATACGTGTGCCAATTAACAGTTGCTGTCCAGAAATTTGATTTGCTTTGCCAAAGGTGTTGTGCCGTCCAAGGAACTACCGCCAGGAAGAATTCAAGCCACTGTTGGACCGAAATCGTCGCCGCCAAGCACTGCCCACCGGAAATCTCCGGCTTTTGGTGAAGAACAAAGCCGCCTCCGGAATTGTTCCGGAGTTAAAAACGGATGGTGGGTGGTAATTCGTGGTGAAATTCCGTTGTCAGTGATGAAGGTGATAAATGGCGGTGAGGAGGTTCGCTGAAGATCTTAGACCGAACTTTATTTATAGCCTTCGACTGCTTCTCCTTACACTATTCAATTCTTGGCATAGATGTCGCAGGAGAATGAGGATCGGCTCTTCTTTCGGGTCTTTAGCTGACTGGACCGAATCTTCGTTAGGATGGGATGAAGTTGCGCCTCTCTCATATTTTATTAATTAAAGTCCTGATCCTGACAAAATGGACAGATCTAATCTAATATAATATGATAATCTAATAATAATAATAATAATAATAATAATAATAATAATAATAATAATAATAATAATAATAATAATCTTATTAAATTGGGGTTAAGGAATTATTGTTCTAATATAATTCAAATAATAGACAGATTTAATAAAAATAATCTTAAAATAGATTAATATTAACAAAACTACTTATGTCAATAATAAATAAAATTAGATAAAAATTAATCAATTATTTGCAGCTTAACTATAAAAAATTATTTAAAATAACATCAAAAATAATGTTTATCAAATCTCCCCACACTTATTTATTTGCTTGTCCTCAAGCAAAAACATTATTAACAAGAAAAGAGATTAAAATAAAAGCAAGTATTAGATCGAGTTGTACCCAAATAGTCTTTCAAATTTATTTGCCTCATCAATGCAAAATTAAAGTCAACTCAAAGAGTGCATAAAATAATTGACTAGAAATTAAAATCTTTAGCAACTAAAATAAATATAAAACTTGTGCTCGTATGCTAATACCCCTTATATGAGCTATACAAAAACTCAATAAAGTAAATACGAAAATTTCACAAAATATAACCTAAACCAAATTCGAAAACATTCTATCACAGTGCAGGTACAAAACATGAAGGAAACAAGGCTCGAGTAAAATTTCACCGAAGCCGCGTTTGTTGTCATAGCGGGCATGATTGTGTATATGTGATTCCATTCCGGTGAGGTTCTCCGCAGAAGTGACGACTGTGATGAACTTCCACTGCTTGGAGTTTTATTCGAGGGAATAGGGCTCGCAGGACTCTTGTTGCTTGGAGCTCCCTCATTTGCAGGATTCTGGTCAACAACAGTTTCCTTTGTAGGAGGATGATCCTTTGTCATGTGCAGCTCTCCGTGACATAAGTTTCTGTCAATCCTTCGGACGATGTGGCAGGCAATGTCCTGGGCCTCGTGGAGCTGCACCCCTAGGTTCCTCACTCGGCTTCGAGTCATTGCTCATCCCACGCCTTGGCTATCCACCAGAACCGGCCGCAGATGATGCCCTGGAGCGGGTAGCCTGAGCATATGTCATCTTGGAGGAGGGATTTCTTGATGCCATTTAGATTCCTTCCTTATAGAGCTCGCGAATCAACAGTGAAGAGATGAGAGGTAGAGTTGTCCCAATGGGCGTGCCAAAATCTGTAAACACAAAAAAGTAAACTTTGTATATATTCACAAAATTCCGTGTACAGCGTGTGTATAATTCAATATGCAGGTACAAAATCTCTGTCTAGTCCTCTGATTCTTCACTGACGTTATCTATGGAAGTGCCTCCGGGATTCAAATAGCGTAGCCTCCGGGATTTAAGTGGCGTAGCTTCCGAGATTTAATTGGCGCAACTTCCAACAACAAGCGTCAAGAATTTAGATGTAATCAACCATGCAAAGTTTCAAAACACATGCAATGGATTCAAGCTGCTTTAAGATCCTCAAATGCCTTCAAAAGACTTCAAGATCTTCGAGACAATCAATTCTGCAAAGCTCCAAAGTACCTGCAATGGATTCAAATTGCCTGCAAAGTCAACAAAAATGCTTTCAAATCCTCAAGCGTTCTTCAATGCCTTCAGACTCTTCAAATGCTCTCAACTCCTTAAGTCTTCAAGTTCTTCAAGCTTTCAAGTGTGTTTTGGAATGAAATGAAGGCTCTATTTATACTAGAAGTCTAACTAACATTCCTCAA